GAAAGATTTCTTAAAAATGTATATTTAAATTACTTCCTTAGTTCTTTTAGCTTTATATGAAGTACTTTAACGAGTGCTCATTAATATTTAAATTATAATTTACACAAAATATTTGTTTACTTGTATACAGTAAATTACCTGTAGTAGGTATGTAATATTTAAGAGCGATATAATTTCCCCAAGGAAGCGCGTATTTCCTCCAGTTAATTCTATTATTTATCACAATTTACTACCAACATACTGATATATTAATAAAAAATAAATATTTATTATTAAATATGCTATTTTCATGGTTGCCATAAAAAATAAACAAAATTATTGTATTCTATTGCCATTGCAGTACGAGTAGGTATGCATAAATTCCTACAGAGACCATGGAAAATCTACAAACATATATGATATTTTTATAAAATATCCTATTTGGTTTTCCAGGATAAAAGCTATGTCTATTTTGATATCGTACTTTCACAGCGTGAATAGTGACAGACATACTCACAACATATTTATAATATTAGTTTATTATTATATAAATAAAGTAGTATTAAACCTATTTTCATTGTTAACCTTATACTTACCATAACTTTGAGGACCTAATTTGATTCAAAGAAAATTTAAATTGATACTAATTCATAATGACTTTGTCTGTTATAAAAATAATAACTGAAATTTACAATTATATTTTCTTGTGAATGGAGTCGACGTGTGCCACTTGAGCATAAAACTGAAACGTATGTAGCATTTGTATTTATGCCTGAACACACTGCATCTACCGCTTTATTTAGATATATGTGACGAGTTTTTATATCTATTATATATATAAAAGAAAGTCGTGTTAGTTACACTATTTATAACTTCAGAACGGCTGAACCGATTTGGCTGAAATGGCGGGGAGGTAGCTTAGAACCCAGAGACGGACATAGGATACTTTTTATCCCGTTCGACTGCGTTCCCGTGTGATATTGTTTGTCTGTTTGTCTGTTTGTACGGGCTAATCTCCGAATCTATTGGACCGATTTAAATGAAATTTTGCATGGTGGTACCTTATATCCCCGGACAACGTCTTAGATATTTTTTATCCCGGAAAATATAATGGTTCCCGTGGGATAGTTAAAAAACTATTATAACTTATACAACTTATGTACCTAATTTAGTAAAATTTAACATTCTGATACCTTATATTGCCGGTCAAACAACCGGTTACTTTTCATCCGGGAAAAATGAACGGTTCCCGTGGGAACTAATACATTTTTATTAGTGTTTTTCTAGAGGCGAACCCGAGCGAAGCGAGGGTGAGCCGCTAGTTATTTTTATAAACTTTATTTGTTTTATAGTATTTATTAATTTGCATATTAAATAGCTTATATTATTATTTCACGTAGCAACTGAGCAACATATTTATGCTTTTTATTATTATCTATCTATACTTATTATAAAAATAAGTCCCCCGGCCGCGTCTTTCTGTCCTCCTGTCTGTCCTCCTGTCTGTCTGTACGCGATAAACTCGAAAACTACTGAACGGATTTTTATACGGTTTTCAACAATAGAAAGAGTAATTCTTGAGGAAGGTTTAGGTATATAATTTATTATGCTTTTATGTAAATTAGCTGAAATACGGCGACAAATGTTGAAGAGGTCGCAAAAAATCTCGCCAAATGGGAACTTTCCACGCGAACGCCGCGTAAACTAGCAAAGATACAGTTAAGTAATGTACTAGAGAATTCAAAATCTATAAAAATGCTACAAAAAAGTCCGCGATAGCATATCTCTATCTCTTACGGTTGACTTACAATAACCACTTTTATGTTAACATTTTTAATTAAAAACATTACGTTATTTTCAAAGTTATTTTCTTTAGTTCGGTATTAATCCTTATCCAAATGAATATTTTAGTTAGCTTAGTCATTTAATGCAGATTAAAATTGCTCTTTACACTAAATCAATCAGATGAATAGTTTTTGAGATATCGTTGTTAGAAGTAATTAGTAGCGAAACATTTTTAATGCTTGGCGAGCATTGAGATGCCTACGGCGAGTCCATCCCCTCTGCCCCGCATCGCTCGACCGCCTGCTCAAGCTATATAAACCGGGCGATGTAGCGCGCGATCCTAGGATACTTTTTACCGCGGGAAAATATCTTATTTCTGAGGAAAAATACAAAAACTGCAATGTAAGAGTATACTAATATGTAACACCTAAGAATTTAGTTTTTGGTCATCTGAACGCGGGCGGAGCCGCGGGCAATGCTAGTACTAACATAATAATATATAGATTCATTGCCCACCGCAAGATTGAGAAAAAATGGCGGTAATTGTCAATGTCAATACAAATGTTTCATCTTTAATCTCACATTTTATTTTGTAACTATCATTGCCCGCGGCTCCGCCCGCGTTCAGATGACCAAAAACCAAATTCTTAGGCTTTACATATTAGTATACTTAAATGTAAGTAGTTTTAACACTTTTTGTAGTTTTTCTCAGAAATTAGATATTTTCCCGCGGTAAAAAGTATCCTATATGTTGACCCGGATAACCAGCTATCACTATACCAAATTTCATCAAAATCCCTCCAGTAGTTTTTTGTGATGCGGTAACAGACAGACACACAGACAAAAATTCTAAAAAGTATAGATTCGGCCTCTGTATCGATAATAATGTCTATTTCAATAAGATTTTCCAAAAAAAATTTAATGTACAGATTCGGCTTAGTTACAATTTTATTATATGTATAGATATTGCATTTCCCGTTTTAAAAGTAACATTTATAGTAGCTATGTGGACGTGTGTTGAGTCAACTTTGTTACACTCGTACTGTTAATACGGAGCTTTGAAAGACACTTTTAAAAAAAAGAAAAAGAACTGTTCATTTTACAAAAAAAGGTTATTGTGTAAATTATAGGAAAATTTCTGTAGTTTCATTTATTACTCAACTATTTTCATCGTTAAATGAGTAGGAAAAGAGACATTGCCAAAAAAATTTTTTTATGCGCCATTTTTCCAATAAGGCATTGCGAGCGGCAAAGATACGAATTGGCAAAGCAGGGAAAGTTCTCGTCGAAATCTATAAATTCACCAATATTTAAAACCACTCTTAACCTCTTTGCCTCTGTAACCTCTTTTTTGAGCACCAAATGACTGGACTATAAGATTTTTCAAAAAATGTTTTAATTTACAGGTTCGGCTCAATTAGAAATTTATTATATGTTTACAGTATAGATATATCTGGTGTTGACAGTGACATTACAGGTTATTTCAGATAACCGTGTAGTAGTTTCTGGGATATTAGATCGTTGAAAAATATCAAGGAAGCACCTGAAGCACGGGATTGTTTATTATAATGAATATACTAGCAGCTTATCCGCTCTTCGCTCCGGTGCGGTCCGAAGATTTATTTATTTCTGACTACAATTAGAGTTATTGTGATATCTGAAAATAACCAGATTTTGATCGAAATAAAAATTAGCCTGTAGTACTGGACGTTAAAATCTTTTCCTTTTAGTTAAAGAAGTTCCAGCATCGGTTTGTTGAAAGAAAGTTTCTATTTATAGTAAAATCTAATTTAAGTTACTATACCTTCAATTTAACTTAACACAAACTGACAACTAAAAATAATGACTATGTTATTTACTATACATATATGAGTACTATACATATATGTTTATACTAGTTAGCGATTTGATTATTTAATTCTGTTGTACCTACATTTTTCCTAAAATATACATCTTTTTTGAAGTTGGCAAATTGGATATTTTACATAAAGTAATATATTATGATTCACATTTACATTTATCCAATCTAATCCAAGTGTTCCGAAGCATTAGTTGATTGAAACTGAGAAAAATAATTCCTACAGGAATTATAGCGTAACTTCTGGTAAATTAATTATAATCTATATATAGGCCCTGGTTCTGCTACTTTTAGCAAATACATTTTTGTAATAACGTATTAATTAACACTAGCCTGCACAGTGTAGACCTAGTTTTACTTGTGAAAAGTTTATTCATTACTTAAAAAAACAATTTTGAATGTCTGTAGACCTCGAAATATTATTGTTGGTTTAACTGCTCTGTTATTTTGCGAAGGTTCAATTTGATTTGGTTCATTTATATCCTAAATAGAACTTTAGAAATTCTTAAGAACAGAAAGTAGCGGTATATATTATCTAAATATTATTACATAAATACGTAGATACTTAGAAAATAATTTGCTTAAGGGATTTTAAGAGTCATATTTTAAGACCGATAGTAAAAAAACAAACCATTTCTATGTATTTACAGATTTGTATCAAGAAAATCAATTTGACATAAATGGAATTCACTTTGAATATTGCGTGGTGATATTAAATACACGCTCATCTATACAGATTTACAATAGCATACATTTGAAAATTGGCAAAACTATAAATTAAACTTAAAAGCTTCTGTTAGTTCACAAATGGCTATTGTTCTCAAAAATACAATCCTGTAAACCAGTTACGGATAAATTATATACACTGATATATTGCAATTTTATTTTGCAGTAACAAAATATTTGTATTGACTCTGGCAAGAGTGAGTGAAGAGAGCAATGAGCTTAGCTCTCCTTAATCATCTGCAATGACAGTGTAAGGAGTCCTGTTGAAATCTTATCGTAGTATGTAAATAGTAAGATTAGGAAAAATGAGAACAGTCGAATCGTAGTCGTTAAGCTTAAAGCGGATTCCATTAGAAAATTAAAGCATGAGTAAAACAATCGCTTATAAATCAGACCGGTTCTTTATCGTTTTGTTAATGAATACAAATCGCATTCGGGTTAGTACGCACACAGAGAAAACCGGTGGTATACACACACGCACACGTACACACAATGACCAACTTTAGGGTTGAGTTGTTTCATTTTAGAAAACTTTTAACATTGTTTAGTGATGTTTTTATATTTAAAAAGTTCACTATCAGCCAGGAGTCTTAAATTGATTGAATTTTTTTGGTTACTTATTTTTTTTTAGTTAGGTGTCCAAAGTAAATTAGCAGTAAAAACACACGCACAGACCTCCATCTGAAAACATCCTCTGGTAGATCTCGTCGCAATCTGTGGGAAGCGGAACATATGTTTAAAAAATGACAACTTAAATGTAAAATAAAAACTTAAAAAAAAACGACTTCCAGGCACTAAAATTTAAAAAAATAAATAAACGGGGGTTTTTATTTACAATAGATACCTAATCAGATATTTTCGAAGTCGGTGCCAGCCGAGTATCCTTATCACAAGCCTAGTAGCTTAGCATGGAACTAGATGGTGCTGTGTGTTCATGTCCGAACATATTATTATTATAATATTGTAAGTTCCAATCAAGTGAGAAGTCAAAAAAATGGCTCACACCTGTGAATTAGACTTTAGAGCAGGAATTTATTGCTAAATCACAGTAAATACCTTAAATAATATTTACATTTAACAAGCAGTTATTGATGAAATAGGTTCATATGTGTAGAATTCAACACCGATATAGGATAAGCAATATAAAATGCATTGACCCAGTTCCGGAGCAAACGTTCTTGGCACAAGTTCAGCTGACCACGCGTGTACGCGCGGGGCCTCGCCGCGCTGCGCCGCACACTGTGCCGCAAACCGCTACCGACTCAAAACTCACAGTTATATATACTCATTTATGACACAAATTAATTGCCCATGATACCATTATTTTGTCTAACAGAGATGTTTGACATAACTACTAACTATGGAGCTACGCTTATACTATCTCTAGCACTAAAATAAGTCCGCGATAAAATCCGAAAAATAGTTTTATTAAAATCCCAAATATTCGCGAAAATCTAAGAAAATATTATCTAGGTCAGAGAGCCGAGAGGAAAATATAAGTTGTTTATTATGGAGATGAGTGGATGTTGACCTCTTATAACTTACAAAATAATATAAAATGTTGTAAGGTGTAAGTTTACGATACTGCGTAGTCAAAAGTATCAGCATTCGTAACAAGTAAAACTAAGTTTGTTTATTTACTTTATATACAGTTTAAGGATTAATCACTGCTAGTTTTTAACATTTTTATCCAAAAATGGGGCAAAAGCGATGTTATAAAATATTTTAGTTACGACGAAATTCACGTAGATTTTTCATTTATTTAGACAATGACGAATTCTATAGATATAGTGGCTTTATCGGATGTACAAATTGCCGTTTCAGAGCGCTATTAATTCAAAGCACGCTCATTCGGTTCAATAAATATGTTAAAATGTTTTGTGACAATGGCACGACGCGTTTGTTGCGTGCCGTCGCGTCGGGGGCCGCAGCGGGCGCAGGGGAAGTTTTATTTTAAAAACATACATGTTCAAGAAGCTACAAAGTTAGGACATTTCAATAATCTTCTATTTAGTGTAAATACCAAGGAGGGACTAATTGGCAATAATTTTGCTTAATTAATGCTAATAACTAATAAGCATTCAGAAAGAATTTTTGGTATCGAGAACTGTCAAAGTTTTAATTATTGTGTTATGAATCTATAATCACTAAAAATTATTTAATAAAACGTGAACGTAAATAATATCAAAAACATAAATGAAAATACAAATGTGAAGCGCTATTCTTACTAACCACACGTACAATTGACAGACATAATAAAGGACTAATCAATCCTCGCATTTTCCAAATATCATTATTTGGGTAATTATTTAATAAAAATATTTTAAGTAAATTTCATTGCGATTATACGCGATATTGCACAAGATTGAATTTTCTCAAAGGTTAATTTGAATTAGGGAGGAGGGGAAAGGGGGGAGCGGGGAGGGGGAAGGGGGAGTAGTGCGGGCACGGCAGGTAGTCACGCACGTCGCTCCCGCCTCGCCTCAATAGTTTACGTGCTAACATCTCACGAATGCGCTCCCTATCCAATTTCTAAAACCTGAATGCCTGACTGAGAGTTGCTTCAAATAATAAAACGTAGTCTATACCATTGTCGTAAGATTTTGTATTGAATTACTTTATTTAAATGATTAATTAAAAAAATCAATATACAATACTAGAAAATATTAAAAACTAGCGATTTACCCTTACTTTTTGTTTGATTATACTTTTTTGTTTCTCCAGGTGCTAGTCTATCTGTGTACTTTTCATCCAAATACGCTCAACCGTTTTAACCCGCTCAAACAGACTCCCGTATTGATAATTAATCTAAGAATAATAATCTATACATAATATAATAGAATAGTAACAAATTGAAATTTGTACATGAAATATTTTTTAAAAACAACCACTTTTATTTATTGTGTACAAAATACAGACTATAAAATATTAGTGATTGAAATGTTTGCTTGTATGTCTGTCTGTATATCTGTATGCGTTTCATGCAACGGATTTTAACTTTTCCAGTGATAAACTATTCTTACAAAACACCTAAGTATTTAAGAGATCGTTTACTACAAAAAAATCTTTTCTACCCACGGGAAAACACAATAACTTGTCCTATCGAATCGTCCTTAGAAATTTTCGTTGGCTGAACATTAAGAGATACATCGAAAAAATGTACTAGAAAATTGTAGGTATTAAAAAGATCTACAGAAAGGTCCGCAGTAGCATAGGTATAACTATTTTCACCTCCTTTAAACGCCAGGAATACACCTGAATGACGCGAGGGTAATTCGCTGGTATAACGAAAGAAAATACAATTAATTAAGCGGGTAAAGTAATTAAAACATTTTTCACGAAATAATTAGAATTTATTTGCACCATTTTTTTATTACAAAGTCTACTCACATATAGGTAACGATACAAAAGCTGTGCCAAGTTATCTTTTTAGCTTTCAATACGAGTTGGTGTAATAGTTTCCGGCATATTACAGAAATTTTTTCTGAATTTTATAACGCTCTACCTTAGTGTAAAGTGGCGAAATTGTATCTATAATTTATCAAATCAATAAGTATTAAACGTAAAAATGTATTACAGAATATTTTAAATAGAGTAAAACAATTTAAGTCAAAACAATTTTGTTAAATTGATTTTCGACATTGATTTTTTGAAATTTGTGACTATGATGTTTTAATAATGACACGGGGGAAAATATTTATAAAATTCTGTCACCGTCCCGTGTGGGGAACGTAAAGGGATCTACACTCATGCAGCCATGAGCGTGATGTAAACGTTTTTAATTAATTAATTATCGGTTAAAATGTTTTGTTTGTTAGTTTCCGACATCATGTTACGTACATATTTATTTTATTATATTTTCATATTTTACTAGGGTTTTGTTTGTGTTGAAGCACCATTAAGCTATTTTTAAGTAAATTAAGTAACATAACCAACGTAATGCTCTTTTTTTCTATCAGGCGTCGTTATATATTGTCATTATGGCACAGACGGTGATTTTAAATTTTTCTTCTCAATAAATTGTAAGACAGCGTGCTGTTCGGTCATCAAAGTTTAAATTTTTCATTTAAAAATCCCAGTAAAACCCCCCTATACGCGCACATGGTCCATTACGAACCGGGTTATTATAATTTCTTTGGAAATATAGGGATTTAAAGGATATTATCTGGAATTTTATAAAATTATAAAACTGAGCAACGTGTCCAAAAGAAGTGATTCAACCTACACGTTTTGGATGAAGAAAAGTGGCTTGGACTTTAGAGTGATTTAATTTAATAAAACAAATTGTTTTTAAGCGTTAAATAAAATTTATTTCACCCAACACTCAGGTAATATTCTAGGTAAAAACTTAATGACCAATATGAAGACTGTATAAGGTTAGTAAAATATGTTTTAATGTAATATTTACAAGTTATTCTTATTTTATTTAAAACTACTACAATTTAAAGCGCATTAATTAGTTATTTACATTGCATTAGGTTGATTTTATAATAATTATTGTATAATATAGTTAATCAGTACTTCATTGTGACAGTACAGTAATATTAATATTACATTAGTTAACTATTCAGATTTAATACAATATTTAAATGTTAAACCTTAAAATTATTAGCATTGTAAGTAGTTATCATTGTAGATAGTTAGAATTGTAAAATAAGTCACTTAAATATACTAGTCTTAAGTCTATCATACAACAGCAAAATTATAAGCGCAGTGCTTTTAAAAGTCAAATTAAATTATATTTATTTAGTGATTAATGCTCATTGTCATAGTAATATTGTTATAAAGATATTTTTTACATTATTTAGCGTTCTGTTGTAAATTTCCAGATTGACGACACCTGCCTTCCAAAATGACCGACATAAAAGATCTTAAAAAGAAACGTGGCAGTTATAAGGGAAGAATTACTTCATTTGCAACCTATTTAGGTCTTTTAAAAGGTTCCGAGTTAACCCCTTGTCAGGCAATGGAGTTACAGTTACGTATTGATAAGTTAGAAAATTTATATGATGACTTTAACGAAATTCAATTACAATTAGAATGTTTATGTGAAAATCTTGATGTTGAATCTATTGAAAGAAATACAGTAGAATCTCAGTATTACAACTTAGTCGCTCAGGCAAAAATTATGTTAAATAACTATTCTAAATTAGAAAAAGATGATGTAAAATCTAGCCACAGTAGTTCAAAGCGTCAACTAGTCAAGTTACCTACCATTTCATTACCAAAATTCTCAGGATCTTACGTTAACTGGCTTGAATTTCGCGATACCTTTACTAGTCTTATTCATGATAATGACGATATGGACGAAATTAACAAATTTCATTATTTGCGATCATCATTGGAAGGTTCGGCTGCCATCGTAATTAAATCAATTGAGTTCTCCGCCCGAAACTACACAGTTGCGTGGGAACTTCTATGTGAACGTTTCGATAACAAACGCTTATTAATTAATAATCACGTCACGGCGTTGTTTGATGTCGAATCGATTACGAAAGAATCCTCAATTGCATTGAAACGCACAATCGACAATATAAACAAAAATATTAGAGCATTAAGTTCATTAGGCGAGCCTGTTCACAGTTGGGATACTCTTCTAATATATATCATTAGTAAAAAATTAGATTTTAAAACATTTAGAGAGTGGGAGGAGTTTAAAGGGCGCTTTGATAAAACTCAATCAATTTCATTTCAACAGTTCATGGATTTTCTGCGTAGCCGTGCCGACTTACTAGAAACAGTTGAACTATCACGCCCCTCTTCCAGTAATATTAAATCCAACACTAAAATTAAGGCTATGGTTTCCACAGAAAAAATAAATTCTTCATTAGCACACGGTTGTCCAAAGTGTAGTGGCGATCATAATTTAAATTCATGTCCACAGTTCTTAGCACTGAGTGTTAGCGATAGAATGTTATTATTGCAAAATTACAAGATTTGTTTTAATTGTTTTCGTCACGGTCACTATCCTAATTCTTGCAAAAAACCAGGTTGTAAAATTTGCAAGCGCAAACACCACACGCTTATTCACAATAATGATTATAAAAGCCATCCCGTTGTAAACAAATCAGGTGAATGTACAATCGGCAAGGCCAAGGACAAGTCATCTTCCATCGCTACTGACAACGGAGACAACGCGTACGTTGCACTATCGGCTAACATCTCGGCGCACTCGCATACAAGCACCTCGAGCGACGTCCTTCTGTCGACTGCGTTAATTAAATGTTATGATGTAAATAATAAAGAACACATCGCTCGCGCCCTTCTTGATTCCGGTAGTTCGTCTTGTCTAATGACGGAACGATTATTTAAAAAATTAAATTTACCATATTTAAATATAAAAAAGTCTATTCAAGGAATTAATAATTCACTATCTCCTGTAAGAAAAATGTGCCGAGTTCACGTCGAATCTTTACACGAACCTTATGCTAATGATATAATATGTTTTGTCTTGCCCACTATTACCGATAACGTTCCCGCTAGACAGGTACATATAGATATTCCTTCGAATATACAGTTAGCAGATCCGTACTTTCACTCGCCAGCTTCCATTGATATTATAATTGGAGCTGACGTATTTTGGAGCTTGTTAGGCTCTGATAAAATTATATTAGGTGATAGGAAACCAACATTACAACAAACTAGACTTGGTTGGCTAGTTTGTGGCCCAGTTAACGGCGGCTATAATATGTTGTCATCTCATTTCCCACCAATACAATGTAACTTTACAAACTTTAAAAATAACCGTTCTTCTAGTTCTCTTGAGTTAGATGACATCCAAAACCAACTTACGCGTTTTAGACAGCTTGAAGAAGTTTGTCATCAGTCATCAACTTATTCATTTAAAGAGAAGATATGCGAAGAACACTTTATTAATAACACTACGCGTTTGCCAGACGGCTGTTTTAATGTTAGAATCCCGCTTAAGGAACCTTCAAGTCGTCTTGGTGATTCATTTCATCGTGCAAAACGTTGTTTTCTGTCATTAGAGCGCAGAAATTTAAAGCAACCTCCACTCGACAAAATGTACAAGGATTTTATGTCTGAGTATATTTCTTAAGGTCACATGTCCGAGTGTCATATTAATGCAAACCAAACGTCATATTTCATTCCGCATCATGATGTCTTGCGTAAAAGTAGTATTACTACAAAATTAAGGGAGTTAGTTCCTTCAATTTCGAGCATCTAATATTGTCTTCTGGACTGATTCTATGATTGTTTTGGGCTGGTTAAAAATGTTACCAATTAAATTAAATACTTTTGTTCGGAATCGTGTTTCCGAAATATTAGAAGAAACCAGTTCTAGCAATTGGAGGCATGTCCCTACAGACGATAATCCCGCGGATTTGATATCTCGTGGAGTAGAACCTTCCGCCATGCAAGCATTGGATTTATGGTGGTTTGGTCCATCCTTTTTACGACAGGATATTACTAGACTGCCATGCATGCCTACGGATTCAGTGAACCTACCTGAAATTAAGTCAAATATTTGCCTTGTAGCGAGTGACGCTAATCATAATTTAGATAAAGGATTAATTAGTTTTGAACGTTTTTCAAATTTTACGCGGTTACAACGTAGTATTTGTTATGTGTTACGTTTTATTAAAACATGCAAAACCCGTTCTACATTTACGTCTAACTTTACTGCTGAAGAATTACAAAACTCTTTAAACATAATTATAATTCAGTCGCAAAAGGAATCTTTTCCCGAATATAATTTATTAATAAATAAACAAAAATTACCATATAAAAATTAATTATTAAAATTTAATGTTTTTCTCGATGATAACAAAATAATCCGTATAGGGGGAAGATTACATAATTCTGACTATTCATTCGAGAAAAAACAACCTATATTATTACAGTCCACTAATCATTTTGTCAAACTTTTATTCAGACATGAGCATATCAAGTTAATGCACGCTGGACCTCAACTATTATTAAGTACCATTAGGCAAACCTATTGGCCGATAGGCGGTCGTAATTTAGCTAGGGCTTGCTACCGTCAGTGCGTTCGATGTCAACGTTTGAAAGGACAGACAGTTGTTCCCCAAATGGGTAATTTGCCAATGAGCAGGCTTTCACCAGCTGACTTTCCTTTTCAAAACGTTGGGGTCGACTATGCAGGACCCATTTCGTCAGCTAGTCGTCAAGGTCGCGGATGTAAAATAGTAAAGGTATATATAGTTATATTCGTGTGCTTTACTACGAAGGCCATTCATTTGGAATTGGTGGGTGACTTGACTAGCAGTAATTATTTACAGGCATTACGCAGGTTTATGTCTCGAAGGGGAAAACCGCTTAATCTTTTTTCCGACAATGGTTCGTCGTTTGTAGGAGCCTACAATGAAATTTCTAATTTTTTAAAACTTAACTGTGACTCCTTAGCTGAAGACGTTGCCCAACATGGAACTAAGTTCCATTTTATTCCTGCCTATGCTCCACATTTCGGTGGACTTTGGGAGGCAGGTGTTAAGTCGGTCAAATACCATTTAATTAGAGTGTTGGGAAATTGTAATCTCACGTACGAGGAGCTTAACTCCGTACTAATTCAAATAGAAGGTATTTTAAATTCGCGGCCACTTACGCCCTTATCTACGGACCCTGACGACGTGCTTCCGTTGACTCCTGGACATTTTTTGATTGGACGGCCACTTACTTCACTTCCAGTCGAGGATCTGCGAGAACCTTCTAGCAGCCGCCTGAGTCGTTTCCAGCGAATTGAGCAAATGAGACAGCATTTTTGGATCAGGTGGAGCAAGGAGTATGTATCCGAGCTGCAGCAACGTGTGAAATGGTACACGTCCAAAGACTCATTGAAACTCAACTCACTTGTTGTTGTCAAAGAAGACAACCTGCCGCCATTAAAGTGGAGGATGGGAAGAATTGTTGCTCTTCATCCTGGCACGGATAATATCAGCAGGGTTGCAGATATTAAGACTGCCAATGGAGTCATACGAAGAGCCTGTTCAAGAATTTGTCCCTTACTGGAAGATTCCTGTTGAAAGGCAGGCTTTCAACGGCCGGGGGCATGTTGAAGCACCATTAAGCTATTTTTAAGTAAATTAAGTAACATAACCAACGTAATGCTCTTTTTTTCTATCAGGCGTCGTTATATATTGTCATTATGGCACAGACGGTGATTTTAAATTTTTCTTCTCAATAAATTGTAAGACAGCGTGCTGTTCGGTCATCAAAGTTTAAATTTTTCATTTAAAAATCCCAGTAAAACCCCCCTATACGCGCACAGTTTGCTTTTGGGAACCAATAATCAAAATAAATCCGCGAAATAATCCCAAAAAAAAAATAGTTTTATTTAAAATGTCAAATATTCGCGTAAATCTAAGAAAGTATTAATATGATTATTATTATGTTCACATCTATGGCAAAGAATATTTTGCATTGTATAACTTTAATGCTCATGCTTTTCTAAAAATATTTTAATTCAAAAAGGTATCTACGTCAATTTTTCATGTTCATATATTCTGTATTGCAGAAGTCAGAAATAAATATCGTTAAGACTTTTCAAGTATAAAAGTTTAAGAAAAATCCTATTTTTATGAAGTAAACAACCGATTTATTGAAGTTTTCATGAATAGACCAAGTTTGGATCGATAAGCTTAAATTTGTAGACTAAGGTTTACAAGTAGTTCAATAGCCGGCAACGCACTTGCTTTTTCTTGAGTTTTCTTTACTTTGCAGAAGTCTATGAACAACGATAGCCACTTACCATCAAGATCATCTGCTCTTGCCACTTTATAGTATAAAAAATCTACTAAAAGGAAAAATAAATTTAAAATTTGTAGGTGAAGAAGAAAGTGGTTCACGTGCAACCTATTACTAAATAGTGTAGATTTTTTTGTTTTATGTACATCATAAAAATAAAGCACTTATAAAAGTGGACGAAGTCATAGGTTTCAGTTAGTTTAACGCAATAGCTAAAAGAACTCACCAACTACGTGTAGTGTGACGAAGAAGGAGCGCACCGGCTGGGTGGAGACCTGGCACTCGTAGACGCCGGCGTCTCTTTGTTGGGCCCATTTGATTTGTAACGTCCACTCGTCGGTCTGCGCCGAATGAGTCGCCTGCAAATTATTGCTTTGTTATTTCCTGAGAAAAATTTATAAATGTTATATTATAATAAATTGTGATCTATATACATAAACATAATATGTAAGTACATAAATAATGGAACTCTTAGTCATATAGGATTGTGGGACTGGCAATGTTGTGGGTCCGGCCAAACATCGGCATTTACAAGTCTTTTTTGTATATGTAATAGAAAAAAAAAGAAGAAATTCTCGCAAGAATTTTATTCTTGATATCAAATATACATTACTAAATACATTCACTTGCGTGATATAATGATGAAAATAGCCGATATTGTTCAGGTATAATCGGGTTACAAAAAAAAGTAACTTTTTGTAAGTAAAAGGTATTTTATATTGGGAGTACTTCCAAAGTCTCAACAACAAACAAACAAATGTATAATGATTTAGTTACAGACATAAACAGCATGAAATAATAATACATATTATAGGTATTTTTTTAATATTTTTAATTATTGGAAATGGGCTTACTCTTGACCTTCACCTTATCTCGAAAGCATAGATAAGGGCTATGATAGAGCAAGCTTGCCTAGGAAAAGCCTGTTAACGCGCACCTTAAAGATTTTCAGGTTATACGTACTCGAAAAAACAGACAGCAAATCAGCAAAACAAAAAAAAAACAAAGCAGAAAAACCAATATGACAATTAGAAGTAGGTTAAATTCATTAGCTATTTTTCCAACCTTAGGAGTGGTATTTTTTTTTAAATTTAAATGGGTCCAATCTGGAAGTATACACTTTCAAACAAAACTAAAATTGTCCAAATCGGTTAATAAATGACGGAGTTCTGAGGTAACAAACATAAAAAAAAAACATACAGCCGAATTGAGAGCCTCCTCCTTTTTGAGGAAGTCGGTTGATTAAATTCCAATTGATTGGAGGAGAGAAGTAATCTTTCTTTAAGTCGTTGTAACTTTTTAGTTAAAATATCTTTGATATAAAAAGTAAGAATTAATGAAGCTACCTTTATAAAATTTTGGGAAGAATATTAATTACTGATTATTCTTCTTCAATGCGTCTGACGTTACCGTACAGTACACTGCGGAGTAATAAATTTAAAATATATTAAAGATTCATCATGAAATCTAGACAACGTGATTGGGGACTAGCGTGACGTGATAACGCTGTTTAATATTTTGTTTGACTTAAACGCTTAAAAGGTCGGCTATAAATGTATGATATTTAGATTTTAAGGAGCTAAAATAAGAAAGAATATATCAAATTAAATAGTAAATGTTTCATTTGATCAATATTTTCCAATAGAGTAGTACTTAAAACAAGAATTTGATTACATACGAGTACATTATTATAGATATAAGCTGCAGATCATTGACGTAAATGCTAAAAATTAAAATAGTTATCTTTAAAATCAAATTTTATCTTTAAATTTCTTTTTATATGATCCAAAGATATGTGGAAGGCTGGAAAGAATGTCAAAGATCCTCTGATGATCTCACTGACCCAACGAAATGAGTACAATGCTCGAGTTTTTACGCCTATTTGTAGCGAATATTAGTGAGAGTTCAGTACTTTTTCAGCTGTGGCGGTCCAATTATGGATAATCAGCGAGGCTATATCAAGAATTTGAGTAACTAGCAAAGTAAAGAGTGTACCTGAAAGCGTTGGTCCGACGTGTACGTGTACCCGCCAACAGTCAGGATGTGCAAGTCTCGGTGACGGATCCATGATACCTGCGGAAAAATGCTGAATATTAGCTTTATATTTTAATAAATCTATTTTTACTATATTTCAATCGACTACTGGTTTGCAGAAGGAATGCTTTGTTATATATTTGCAGTAACGTTGAAATTAGCCTCGCTATGTTTGCGAATCATATCCGTGGTTTGAAATGTAGTGCAGTGTAGGTACTAATAATGATTGATATGCAGTATGCACCATCACACCAGGATTGCTGTGAGTAGATGTGGTAAAAGCTATTTTCTTTTATTAAATTTAATTTTTAATTAATGCCAAAAGTTAAAGTCTTATGGGCCGAGAAATCTCAACCGAACTCGAACCCGCGACTGCTGGCACAGCAATTAGGGTCACTACAAACTGAACCAAACGTATCATAACGTAATTTATTTGCTATGATATAGCTATAGTAGCTCAAATTGTGTCTATTTAGCCGAATTGTTTAGTTATGTTATTTTAATATAGATATGTTTTATTATATTCCATTGAACTTTATTATTTTTGAAATTTTAAACTATAGATTAAATTTTCATTTAAAGATTAATTGGTTTAGTTTGTACAATTTAACGACGATTCTAAAGGTACCGGGCGTCACCATGACAACGACGACGATGATAATTTGTACAGCTCAATTACTCGTTACCTTAATTCCATTGATTGAAAGCGACTTAGACAGCGGAAATATCATACGAGTTTATGAAAAGTCAGCGATTTTTACGCATGAGCCGATATCAGGTCGCATTAAGCGTTAGTTCAAAGCTTTAAAGCGTTGAGAATATTTGGCCGAGGTCGTTTAATTCTATGGGACCTTCATCAGATTTGGTGAAAGTGAATTAATTATTTCTCAGAATGTTTGTAAGAACGTTTAAACACAATTTAAATTTTATAACGATAAAGTGAAGTTTATAGTATACAAATGACTCTTGTTACTCTTAAGCCCTAAGTACAACTCAGCGGTTCCCATTTTTTTTTGGCCACGGATTTTGCCTATTTTATCGTTTTTTTAATAGATCATATGTCTGACAACTTTTTATTCAAATCGGTCAGAACTCGTAACCCCTATGGCCCTTTTACGAAACTGTAGGGTTCCGCGGACCACCATTTGGAAACCGCATCACTAAGTTATCTAGCCGGTGGTAGCTTCCTCACCAGCCATTTATACTGACTAATGACTCTCTTAAAATAATTGACGATTTAAAAGTGCTTGTATAAGTCTAATTTAATAAAGTTAATTTTCATTACATATCATTTCTGTCCTATGGAAGATTTTTGTAATATTGTGATACTTATCCCATACAGATTCCTTGATCTGGATGACTTTATGTTATTTCCTATTAAAATACTATTGTTTTAATAGAAAATAATATATTTAATTCATTTGTAATGATTTATGTATAATGCATTTACTTATGTGACCTTGGCCGATAGGAATGTGTTTTTTTTTTAAAAAAAAAGGGCGCGGATATTCATTTGTTTTACCGCGTTTTTGCACAGAGATGTCGGTACCACCATGTAGTGTCGAGGCACGCATTGTTTGTAATACTGAAAATTATGAATATAAATTATGTAACTCACTGACGACTATAAAAGTACTGAATATAAGAATATAAGCAAGGAATACCTCGAAGTTTTTTTAGGGACCCAACACTATGAAAGTTGTTGCAAAAAAAGTAAGTACCTAGTTAAGTTTTCGAGTACCTATAAACGAAGTAAAGAAAATTCTTTTATTTGACTATTTCTCACGGCTTACAGTATACGGACCTATCTATCTCTATACCTTAGTGTCTACTGTCTGGCTGCTTTACTCCCAACTTTCCGCTGATTTTACGACAGTGCTTTTTTACAATTTTCAAAGTCGTCCTTATTCCTAACGAGACCGGTGTAAGCTTTTTACGACAAAAATAAAACACTGGTCCCGTGCTTTAATCGAACGACGCCGAGTAACCAAATACGAACAGTGTAAATAGTCTTAATTTTATTTTCGCTTAACCCAATTCCACAAAATAAAGCTAAGGAAAATAGATGTTTTGTACAGAAAATAACAAACGTGATACAAAAGCCTAATTAAATAAATTTTTAAGTAATATAATACTGTTGTTTTCATTTTCTATATATTTTCAACCGACTTCCTCAAAAAGAAGGAGGTTCTCAATTCGCCTGTATTTTTTTTAATTTTTGTACCTCAGAACTGCGTCATTTATTAACCGATTTGGACAATTTTTGTTTTGTTTGAAAGTGTATACTTCCAGATTGGTCTCATTTAAATTTAAAAAAAAATACCACCCCTAAGGGTGGAAAAATAGCTAATGATGAATTTAACCTACTTCTAATTGTTATATTGACTTGAAACTTTGCAAGTGTTTCTACTTCCGTTGATAGTACAGTGGTTAGGTATTGTTGACCTGATCTAATGGCAAGGTCAGAAGGTGGATAGGTGGAACTCTTCAACGGCTAATAGCCTATACTTTGAGTTTGGGCTTATTTTGTTTGATTCGACAAGCCTAACACGTTAGAATCCTTACTTTGCTACTACTGTCTACACTAAAAAGGGAAAAATAAAAACTTTTTAACTAAAACATAAAAACCGACTTAAAACAAAAGCACTAAAAAGTAAAAATAACTGATTGGTAGTTTTCATTTACTATACATACCTAATCGAATATTTTCGAAGTCGGTGTCCTTTGTTTTGTATGAGCTGGTACGGATTTCGAAAATATTTGATTAGGTATGTATTTAATAGGTAGGCTTTAATTACTTAGCAATTTTTCATTTTGTTATTTGTGGGTAGGCTGTCTGTAACAACTATACCTTCGAGACATCTAACACCTCAGTCTCTCCCGTGACCATGTTTGCTGTAAAGGATTCGAAACGTCGGGAACCAAAAATCCAAATAAATCCGCGAAAAAATCCAAAAAAGATAGTTTTATTTTAAATGTTCTTTTCTTCTCTTATTTGGCGGGCTCCGTGTATATACGAGGTTATATTAGATATATACATATGTATATGATAATATTATGTGATCGTAAAAATTCATGTTATTATAAAAATCTAATAAAATATATCTTGAAATTAATTATTAACTGTGATTGATTTTATTATTCTTGTTTAAAATTTAAAAATATTATTAAATTTTGTTACCGATATTTTAAACTAGATCAACGACAGTAACAACGCGTATATGTATGTATATAATGTGAAAGAATACTTAATTGTAGCTATTGGTTAAGTTGAAAATGCATTATTTATACTTCCTGTCCCTGCCTTAGTCGTTAGTTATTTAGACCTCTTTATCTAGAAGCGCAGATACTACATAATTAAAATAATTCATCCTTATTATAGCTGGACTATAACGAAGTAGCCTTTTTTAATGTTGGGAAAAGCATTTACGCATACCACTTGTATATTTCCAGGTTATTTGGAACTCACTGGTTAGAAAAGTCAGTACTACCAACTAAAACCCAACGTAACCTCCTCCGTCTTAATGGGGCGACACAGGATCGCTTATGCATTCAACTACGACACCCCGGTGGCACGTCTCCCGAAGGAGACCACACTACCAAGGGTTTGCTCCCACGGTCCACTCTGCTGTCAGAGAAGTTGTACTAAACAACCTGGTGAAGACCCCTAAAAATTTCAGGACAAAATTTAACTCCTTAATTAATTACTTCAATAAAGCTAACCTATTTCGTATTATATACATAGATTTTGTATTGACGATACGTTTGGCTCAGTTTGTAGTGACCCTAAATGCTGTGCCAGCGGTAGCGGGTTCGAGTTCCGCTGGGTGGCATTTGTGTGCTGAGCACGAATGTTTGTACTCCAGTCATGGGTTTTGTATTTATAATATATACGTATTTAAATGTGTTACATATGTATAATGTATCGACTATCTAGTATCCATAAGACAAGCCTCATAACTTACCATGGAACTAGATGGTGATGTGTGTTAATGTCCCAACATATTTATCTATTTATTTTATTTGTAGGTTTACAACCATCGCAGAGAGCGAGTATGCAGAGGGCGGGCGGGCTTCCGCGGTGGCAGTAAGTGTTGTTTTATGATGCAGTTTTATTAAGCTTATGGTTATGTTAATTTTATTTCAGCATCATATTTTCTGTCATGATTGAAACAAAAGTATATTTTATTATTGCTCTATTAAAATGCAAATGACTGTGCACTAACTACCTTTGATCCCGTAAAATTTGAAGAAATTGATGTTTTCATGTTTCTTTATGAATAATTGGAACATTTCCGCATGTTTTTATGCCGTACTATAATAACAATATTATTCCACCCAAAAGGAGGGCTTTTTTCAATGAAAATGGAATATTTTGGAGTAACCAATACTATAACATAGGCTACTGTTAGTAATCACATTTCCTAAAACGTGGCATGTTTAAAATATAAATACAAAATACATTTAAGTAAAGTGAGGGCATGTCGGTAGTGTATCGTAAATACAGAAGACTGTGCTTTGTGACCCGAATTAATAACTTCCTTCATTTTTAGTTTGTTTCATGTTACCCTCTATCTAAGCATTGATATGAAAGCTGTTTTGCTTTCAATAATTACAAATGTTTATTCATTAAATATATTTAAATATTCGAGGAATTAAGAACGACGTCCCATGACTTTCCGACACGGCTCGTACAAAATATGTGTATGATAATAAATATCGATAATTTCCCTTTTAAAAGGAATTCGTATTCGCATGAATCGATAATATTACCCGCACTTGGCCAGCGTGGTGGATTATGGCCTGATCCCCCTAGTATTCAAGGGAGCCCTGTATCCAGCAGCGGGACGTTAAAAATGGCTGAATACATACACACTTAGTAATTTACAACCGTTCTAACGTCTATCTATGCCACTGTACACATATAAAAAAAATAAATTTTTGTATAGAGATTAATTTTTAACTCCTATCGACTCTATAAAATCCCTTTACTAATAGAAAGCGCAACGTAAACGTAAGCGTAACTGCTAGCAAATGCTGCTTGCTAATAACCAATACTTTCGAAAACATTAAACAATATTGTTATACTAATAGATAATAAACAAAATTATTGTCCTCTTTTCCAGTAAAAGTTTGTACAAGAAAACCTTGAATCGCAGATGTCATTAAAACTTTCCAAGCTTGGCTGCGCTTCCAAAACCCATGAGCAGATAACAGCACAAGCGACGACATATGTAAGTATACATATTATTGTACTCGAAGAAGGAGCGTGTAACCTACAAGCTGAACAACTAAACTTTATACCATGCTCCACTTTGTTTGGGAAGATAATGATTTCTATAAGTAGCATAAGGTTAATAACGACAGGTTTGATAAATAAAGGCTTATAAAATAGCATAGTAAAAATAATCAATTATTAGTCATAATAATAATTAATTAATCCTAAATCTATGCATATAATAACTTACATACTCGAAGGTAAGCTACGTTTAAAGGCATAGATACATAGACAATTAGACGTCTTTGTGAACATAATATTAATATAATTTGAATGCATAATAATCAAATTGACTATAAATGAAATGCAAAAAAACGAAGTTTAAATGAACAGGTGCTTAAATAGTGATGTGGCAGTGAAAGCCCTTAATAACTTTCTTAATTTACTTCCATAGCTGTGAATTGTGATCAATATTTGCTTTTCAAAAGCAGGCGTTTGTATTATGCACTAGCG